GGCAGATTCAGGAAAACAGGGCTCCATTCATAAAAATAAAAAAATATATTGACTTGTGAAAGACTTTGGGGTAGAGATTTTTCACCCCCGCTCCTTGTTCTTTAAACACTCTCTCGGATATGGAATGCCCAGTTCGAGAAGGAAAGGGAAGATTTTTTAAACAGATGTGTTTTGGTGAGGCAGCGAAGGCAAACACTGAAATTATATGGGAGGAACAGACGGTTGTGTGCAGGGATTACGCAAAAAGAAGGGAATGAGAGGAAAGAAGGAAGGAGAAAGCAAAAGAAGTCAAGGCAGGCAGAGAGGGAAGAAGAGAAGGAAGGAAGGAAAGGAAAGAAGAAGGAGAAGGAAGAAAGGAAGAGGAAGGAAGGAAGGAAGAAGGAAGGAAGGAGGGAAGGAAGGAAGGAAAAAGAAAGAAAGAAAGAAAGAGGAAGGAAGGAAGGAGGAAGAAGGAAAGGAGGAAGGAAGGAAGGAAGGAGGAAGGAAGGGGAGGAAAAGAAGGAAGGGAAGGAAAGAAGAAGGAGGAAGAAGGAGGGGAGGGGAGGGAGGGAGGAGAAGAAAAAAGCAAAGAAGAGAAGGAAGAAAAGAAGGGGGAGGAGGTAGGGAGGGAGGGAGGAGAAAGATAAAGTCAAGGAAGGCAGTCAGGGATGAAGAGAAGGAAGAAAAGGAAGGAAGAAGGAAAAGGAAGGAAAGGAAGGAAGAGGAAAAAGGAAGGAAGGAGAAGGAAGGAAGAAAGGAAGGAGAAGGAAGAGACAAAAGGGAAAGAAAGAAGGAGAAAGAGGGAGAGAAGGAAGAGGAAGGAAGGAAGGAGGAAAAAGGAAGAAGGAAGGAGAAGAGAGAAAAAAAGTAAAGGAAGGCAGGGAGGAAGGAGAGAGGAAAAGGAAGGAGAAGGAGGGAGGAAGAAAAAAAGTAAAGGAAGGCAGGGAGGAAGGGAGAGAGGAAAAGGAAGGAAGAAAGGGAGGGAGGAAGAAAGCAAAAAGTAAAGGAAGGCAGGGAGGAAGGGAGAGAGGAAAAGGAAGGGAGGGAGGGAGGAAGAAAGCAAAAAGTAAAGGAAGGCAAGGAGGGAGGACAAAGAGAAGTAAGGAAGGAAAGAAGTTAAGGAGGTGAGGCAGGCAGGAAGTGAGGAAATAAGGAAGGAAGGACGGAAGGAAGGAGAGAGAGAGAGAGAAACCCCATTCCTTTCCTTTAGGGCTCCATGCTGTCCCCGGGAAGCTTCGCCCTATAAAGGTCCCATGTACATTGTGCAATGTGTGCTCTTAAGAGGGTTGTATAGAATCCTAGAGTTGGAAAAGATCCCAGGGGCCATCCAAACTCCTAATGCTAGACAGGAATTAATCATCCAACCCCTCCCGACAGATGGCCATCCAGCCTCTGCTTCAAACCCTCCAGAGAAGGAGATTCCATAGGACTCCCAGGCAACAGATTCCACGGTTGAACAGCACGTAGCATCAGGATGTTCTTCATAACGTTTGGGTGGAATCTCTTTCCCTGCCGTTTGAACCCATGGGTCCATTGTGTCCTAGTCTCCCAAGCAGCAGAAAACAAGATTCCTTATTCCTCAGCGTACCATCCTTTCACATCTTGAAGATGGAAAGGATAGAGAGTTTTTGGGGGGATTTTTTGTCATGTCAGGAGCAACTTGAAAAACTGCAAGTCGCTTCTGGTGTGAGAGAATTGGCCATCTGCAAGGACGTTGCCCAGGGGACGGCTGGATGAACTGATTTTTTATCATCCTTGTGGAAGGCTTCTCTCATGTCCCCGCATGAGGAGCTGGAGCTGATAGAGGGAGCTCATCTGCCTCTCCCCGGATTCGAACCTGTGACCTGTCGGTCGGGGGCTCAGGTGAAGGTGCATCTACGTTGTAGAATGCACTTTAAAGCCACTTTAAACCATGGTGGCTATGGGTTCACAAGGCCTTGAGCCTTCTCGGCTGAAGAGGGCAGGTGCCTTGCCAAACTACAAATCCCGGTTTGCCAAATAAAAATGAATTCATATGGCACGACTAGGAGGCGGGAGCTGAAATGCCTTGCTAAGGCATTTATAGTGCTGTCTATTATTAGTCACTCTCATGTATGTATACACACACACACACACACACACATATATCTTTTAAGTGATTAACCGCTTCCTTTTGGGATCCAGGGCAAACTTTGTCAGAAGTGCTATGTCTGAATATGTGTCCAGATTATCTGAGTTGCTTCAGTGTATTAATAAATGATATTATTATATATGTTTAGCACTACTTACATAGTAAAAGTTTTCCCCTGACATTAAGTTCAGTTGTGTCCGATTCTGGGGGTTAGTTCTTATTAGCCAAAGAGCCAGCGTTGTCCGTAGACACCTCCAAGGTCATGTGGCCAACATTACTGCATAGAGTGCCATTACCATCCCACAGAAGGGGTACCTAATGATCTATTCACACTGGCATGTTTTTTAACTGCTAGGTTGGCAGAAGCTGGGCCTAACAGTGAGCAAATTCAGCAGCTCAGCGATTTAACCCCTGCACCACCAGTGCTACTTTCATAGCACTTACTTTTATTTTGAGTCACTGGTAGCAACCAAAACGTCCATTTATAAAGTCCTGTTCGTAATCTCAAGGTGCATCTAAGCAGTAGAATGTATGTGGTTTTGTCAGCACTTGAAGTGCCTTGGCTCAATTGTATGACGTCATGGGAGTTGTAGTTTTATAAGGTCTTCAGCCATCTCTGCCAAAGAGAGCTGGTCCTTCAATACAGTACAATGAATCCAGTTTGACAGCACTTGAAGTGCCTTGGCTCTATTATAGAGTGTCATGGGAGTTGTAGTTTTGCAAGTTCTTCAGCCTTCTATACAGTAGAATGGATGCAGTTTGACACCACTTGAACTGCCTTGACTCAATTATGTGCTGTCATGGGAGATGAAGTTTTACAAGGTCTTCACCCTTCTCTACCAAAGAATGCTGAGGCTTCTATACAGTAGAATGAATAGACACCACATTAACTATTGTGGCTCAATGCTTTGGAATCCTGGGAGTTGTAGTTTTACAAGGCATTCAGCGTTCTCTGCCAACGAGTGTTGGTCCTTCTGTACAGGAGAATGAATGCAGTTTGACACCACTTTAACTACCATGACCCAGTGCTATGGAATCCTGGGAGTTGTAGTTTTACAAGGTATATCAATCATTCTTCTTATTTTTATTAATACACCGCTTTTCTCTCCCAAACGAGACTCAAAACAGCTTAACATAAAAGCTTTAGCATACAATTTATAATATTTACAAATATGCAAACATTAAAATGGAATTAAATATAAACAGTATTTAAAAATTCACAGTTAACATCCATTAAGCGAATTTCCTTTCCTTTATTTTTGGGGCCAAGAATTGATCCCTGAATGCATGTTGTCCCTTGCCATCCGCATTCATAGGCATTCGTAGCTGATTGAAGAACATTGTTTCCACTCCACTTTTATTTATGTGTTAAGAGACATATGTAGGTGTGTATAAGTGTGTGTGTGTGAGATACACACACACACACACATACATATACATATAAGCTAGACACATAAAACCATTTATTAGGATCTCCAAAGTTTAGTTAGTTTTGTTATTCCGGGGCTGGGCAGCTCAAATTCTCCGCAAAAATATTAGCTTTATTTTAAGTGCTTTTCCAATACATCAGCTGCGGAGAATGGCGGTGCACTTTTCCATCTCAAGGCCCTGGAGACTTTGCGTGTATTCGTATTTTGCAGAAAATGCAAGCTCTAGGAGGTGCTGAAAAGCCGTCCTCGTCATTGAAAAAAAGGGCAAAAACACTTCGATTTACATAATCCCCAAAGGCACCAGCCAAGAAGGAAAAAAGGGAGTCCAGACGGTGTAAAAGTAGGACGGTTCTGTCCTTTTCCTCCTCTTCTGGTGAAGTTTTCCATTAGGAAAGTGTCCAGAAACTCATTGCAAGAAAGCACCGCTGTCTGGGGAAAGGACGGGCCAACCTTTTGGGACAGGAAACTCCACAGCCCTTTGAAGGCCCTTGGACTACAAGTCCTAGCATCTTTAACCAAGCATACATTAAGTGAATGCTAGGAGTTGTAGTCCATTTACATCTTTGATGGGGGATGTTTCTCACTATGATTGACCTGCATTAGCAGGTCAATCATATAGTTTGCAGATATTTCTTATCTGCCACCACAATCAAAAGCACATTAATAGAAATGAGACCCAAATGGAGTCCTTATTGTTTCTTTATGTTTGTTTAAAGTTGTTAAGAATTTGTTTAGGGTTGTTCAGGGTTTGTTTTGCCCATTTGGTGCCTTTTTAAGATTGTTCAGGACCAGTTTTGCCCATTTGGTGCCTCTTTAAGGTTGATCAGAGCCTGTTCAGGGTTGCTCAGGGCCCATTTTGCCCATTTGGTGCCCTTTTAAAGTTGTTTGTAGCCTGTCTAGGCTTGTTCGGGGCATGTTTTACCATTTAGTGACTTTTAAAGGTTGTTCAGAGGAAGGAAGGAAAGAGAAGGAGGGAGAGGGAGAGGAGGGAGAGGGAGGCTGTTAGGAATGGTGGGAGTTGAAGTCCAAAACACCTGGAGGGAGGGCCGAAGTTTGCCCAATGCCTGAGATAGACAAAAAATGAGAAGGAAGCAGAAAGGGGGGAAGAAAAAGGGAGGCCAAAACAGAAGAGAATGAGCATGGCAAAAAAGTGAAAAGAAAAGAAAACAAAGGAGGTGGGAGAGAGAGAGAGAAGCTAAGGAGAGACAAAGAGAAGGACCAGCAAGTTGAACAAAGGGAGGGAAAAGGAGAAAGTATAAAAAAGGGAAAGAAGAGAGAACAAAGGAGGGAAGAGGAAGGAGAGAGAGAGAAAGGAGGTTGAGAAAGGGAAAGAGAGGGACGCAGCGAAGACAGGAGGAAGAAAGCAAGAGAGAAAAGGGAAAGCAAGGAGGCAGCCTCCCCCTCCCCTCTTTGCTCAGACAAGAAAGGGGAGGGGGAGGGGAGAAGGGGAGGGGCTTGCCCAAGCCACGCCCCCTCCTCCTCCGCGTGGGAGCCCCTCCCTCTGCCGCCGCCGCCGGAGAAGTCGGGACAAAGTTTTGGAGCTGGAAGAAGAGAAGGAGAAAAAGATAGAGGAGGAGGAGGAGGAAAAGAGAAAGGAGGAAGAGGACGAAGGAGAGCTCGCTTCGTCCGCCTTCGGAACTTGGAGCCCCGAAGGAACCCGCCGGAGTTTGGCCTTCCCCCTCCCTCCCTCCCTCCTCTCTTTCTTTCTTTCTTTCTCTCGCTCTCCTTCCCTTTCCCTCCTCCTCTTTCCTTCCTTATATTTCCTCCTTTCTCTCTCTTTCCTTTCTCTTTCCTCTCTTTTTCCTTCTCCCTCTTTCCTCCTTCTTTTCTCTCTCTTTCTTCCACATTTCTCTCGCTCTCCCTCACTTCTCCCCTTTCTTTTTCTCTCCTCCCTCCCTCAATCTCTTCTTTTCTCTCTACCCCTCCACTCTTTCCCTTTCCTTCCATATTTCTCCCGCTTTTTCCTCTTCTTCTTTTCTTCTCTTTCCTTCCCTTCTTCCTCTTCTTTTCTCTCCCTTTCCTTCCTCCCATACTTCTCTCTCTTTCCTTCGCTCTCGTCTTCCTCTTCTCTCCTTTCTCCTTCCCTCGCTTTCCTTCCTTCCCTTCTTTGCTTGTTCCTCTTCTTTCTCCTTCCTTTCACTCCTTCTCTTTCCTTCTTTCCATATTTCCCTCTCCCTACCTCCTTTTTTCCTCTTCTTCTTTCCTTCCTCCATCTGTCTCTGTATTTCTCTCTCCCTCCTTCGCTTCATCCTCTTCTTCTCTCCTTCCTTACTCTTTCCCTTCCTTCCACCCTCTCCCCTTTCTTCCCCTCCTCCCTTCTCTCCATTTCCTTCTATCCATATTTCTCTTCTTCCTCTTTCCTCCCTCCCTCTTTCCTTCTTTATTCCCCCCTTCCTCTCCCTCTTTTTTCCTCCTTCTCTTTCCTTCCACATTTCTCTCTCCCTTCTTCACTTCTTCTTTTCTTTCCTCTCCCTCTTCTTTTTCTCCTTCTCTTTCTTTCCTTCCATATTTCTCTCTCCCTCCTTCGCTTCTTCCTCTTTCCTTCTTTATTCCCCCTCCTCTCCCTCTTCTTTCCCTCCTTCTCTTTCCTTCCTTCCTTATTTCTCCCTCCCTCCTTCACTTCTTTCTTTCTTTCCTCTCCCTCTTCTTTTCCACCTTCTTTCTTTCTCTTTTCTCTCTCCCTCCTTCGCTTCTTCCCATACTTCTCTCCTTCCTTCCTCTCTTACTTTCTCTCCCTTTCCTTCTTTCCTCTCCTCTTTCCTTCCACATTTCTCTCCTCCTTTGCTTCTTCTTCTCCCCCTCCTCCTTTCTACTCTCCTTCCTCTCTCCTTCCTTCCTTCCCTTTGGCCAACATGTCTTCCATCCTGCCCTTTACGCCTCCCATCGTGAAGCGGTTGCTGGGCTGGAAGAAGGGCGAGCAGAACGGGCAGGAGGAGAAGTGGTGCGAGAAGGCGGTCAAGAGCCTGGTCAAGAAGCTCAAGAAGAGTGGGCAGCTGGACGAGCTGGAGAAGGCCATCAGCACCCAGAGTGGAGGCACCAAGTGCATCACCATTCCCAGGTGGGCCCCCCGCATGCACAAACAGAGCAGGGTTGCATCCACAGTAGGCCTTGGCCAACTTGGGCCCTTCCAGGTGTTTTGGACTCCAACTCCCACCATTCCTCACTGCCTCAGGCCCCTTCCTTTTTCCCCTCAGCCGCTTAAGCGGCTGAGGGGGAAAAGGAAGGGGCCTGAGGCAGTGAGGAATGGTGGGAGTTGGAGTCCAAAACTTTGTTTTTGCGTGATGGTTATCCAGCTATAGCACATTTTGCAATAGTTTTTCTATGAATCTCTCATCATTGAGTCTCAACCGATGCAAACAACTTTGTGGCAGCCACGAAAACAAAGTTTCTGGAGTGCAAGAACTTCTTTCGAAGTCAGAACCACACAATTTAACAGGAAATAACACTTTCTAATCAGGAAAATAACATTTTCAAAGTTTGTTACGTAGTGTTATTCGTGTATTTGATTCCAAATGTCCTCTAGGAATCCCTAGGGCATGTTGATGTCATGCCTTTGAGGCCTGCCTCCTTTCGCGACATGGTCATACCATTTTTCTAAGAGTCACATAATATAGGTAACATAGGTAAAAGTAAAAGTTTTCCTCTGACATTAAGTCCAGTTGTGTCCGACTCTGGGTTGTGGTGCTCATCTCCATTTCTAAGCCGAAGAGCCGGCATTATCCGTAGACACCTCCAAGGTCATGTGGCCAGTATGACTGCATGGAGTGCCGTTACCTTCCCGCTGGAGTGGTCCCTATTGATCAACTCATATTTGCATATTTTCGAACTGCTAGGTTGGCAGAAACATACAACACATTACGGTTGTAATACATATACCTATGTATGGTGTCCCCGGTAGCACAGCAGGTGATACAGCAAAGCTGCTGAACTTGTTGACTGAAAGGTCGGCAGTTTGAATTTGGGGAGTGTGGTGAGCTCCCACTGTTAGCCCCAGTTCTGCCAATCTATTTATTATTATTACTATTATTGACATCATTATTATCACCATAATTATTATTGACATTATCATCATCATTATTATTTTTATTGTTGACATTATTATTGTTATTATTATTGTCATAATTGTTGATATTTTTATTATTGTTACATGTACATGCCTGGCTGAGGGGAGTGGGACTAGATGCCCTTTGGGGACCTCTTCCAATGGAGTCTCCTTCTCTAGAATTTTTTGAACTGAGGTTGAGTGGCCATTTGTTGGGAGGGCTTAGACTGTGTCTACCTACCTGGATGAAGGGGGTTGAGTTGGGCTAGATACCCTTTCGAGATCTCTTCCAGTGGAATCTCCACTATAATTTTTTGAACTGAGGCGGAATGGTTGTCTGTTGGGAGGGCTTTAATTGTGTCTTCTTGCCTAGTTGAAGATGGTTGGACTAGATGCCCTTTGGAGACCTCTTCCAGTGGAGTCTCCTTCTCTAGAACTTTTTGAACTGAGGTTGAGTGGTCATCTGTTAGGAGGGCTTAGACTGTGTCTACTTACCTGGCTGAAAGGGGTTGGATTAGATGCCCTTTGGAGACCTCTTCCAGTGGAGCCTCCTTCTCTAGAATTTTTTGAACTGAGGTTGAGTGGCCATCTGTTGGGAGGTCTTAGACTGTGTCTTCCTGCCTGGGTGAAGGGAGCTGGGCTAGATACCCTTTGGAGATCTCTTCCAGTGGAATCTCCACTATAATTTTTTGAACTGAGGTGGAATGGCTGTCTGTTGGGAGGGCTTTAATTGTGTCTTCCTGTCTAATTGAAGGGAGTTGGACTAGATGCCCTTTGGAGACCTCTTCCAGTGGAATCTCCTATAGAATTTTTTGAACTGAGGCAGAATGGCCATCTGTTGGGAGAGCTTTGACTGTGTTTTTTCCTGCCTGAAGTGGGTTGGACTAGATGCTCTTTGGGGTTGTCCCTTCTTCCTCCTTTTCACTCTCCTTGGCACTACCTTGTTTGGGGCAAGAATTGGGGGAGCATTTTCCAAGCGACACACAGTTTTGAAAGCTCTACTCTCGGACCTCCAGAGCCATTCTGTGCTCAGCTTCCAGTAGGATTCAATTATGAAGTCATCCCGGAAGGCCTCAAACCCCTTAGAGTGGGGGAAATATGATTTATTGGAGTTTCCCCCCCCACTTTTTCCTCTGCCCCTAACCCCAGCCATCGCTGAGAACCGACTGTCGATATGCACACTTTGTGTTTAATGTCTTTCTCTGTTGCCATGAATAATGTGGGCCTCTGGCTGTATCCCTGTTGTCTCCTAAACCTGAAACAAAACAAACAGGACAATCTGCTTCTTTGGTTTTCTTAGGCAGCTGCTCTCTTTCCAGCTCTGGGAGCATTTGGGGCTCTGATTCTGGCCATTTGTGTCTGTGCCTTTGTGGACACATGATGAGCCAACGAGCCTTTGTCGTTCTCAGGTTTTGTTTTGTTTTTCCAGACATGGGAGCCCTGCTCAGTCTTGCTCGGTCTTTTCTTTGACCAAGTTTTGCTGAGCTGGAGAAAGTGAGCTGTTTCTGATTGTTCATATGATCCTTTTCTGCACCCTTTCCTCTCTTCCTTTGAAGCATAAGGCAACACCGAGAAGCACTCTTCCTTTGGCAAAGAAAGCGAAAGTTCATGTGCCGTCCAGAGAACTGCAATGGGGGGTTCTCCTCCTCCTTCTCTTCCTTCTTCTCCCTGGTTTGTTTTCCTCGCCCTTTTGCCTCTTGCTTTCCTCTCGCTCCGTAAATGTGTCTCTTGGCTGTCGGGATGATTTAGTGCGGAGCGGCTGGCGCGCACAAAGGAGCATCTGTTGGGAGATGTGCTGCCGTTTGAGTGGCATTGAAACGCCTCTTTCACCCAAAGGCAACTGCAGGCGCCGAAGCCTTGTTGGGAGGCTCCTTGGCGTTGGGATGGAGGCCTGTGTCCATTGGAAGCCATGGGGGAAAACACTGGGCCTCTCCAGGGATCAAGAGGTCTCTGGGTGCATCTTCACTGTAGAATTAATGCAGTTTGACACCCGTTGAAATGCCCTCGCTCAATCCCAGGAGAGCAGTTTGGTGAGGCACCAGCACTCTTTGGCAAACAAGGGAATAGACATTATTATTGTTGTATTGTCGAAGGCTTTCATGGCTGGGATCACTGGGTTGTTGTAGGTTTTTCGGGCTATATGGCCATGTTCTAGAAGCATTCTCTCCTGACATTTTGCCTGCATCTATGACAAACATCTGTGTGAGGTCACAACCTCTGAGGATGCTTGCCATAGATGCAGGTGAAATGACAGGAGAGAATGCTTCTAGAGAACATGGCCATATCGCCCAAAAATCCTACAACAATTGTTGTTATCATTGTTGCTATTGTCGTTATTATTGTCATTATTGTTTTTTATTGTCATTATCATCATTGTTATTATTTTATTTATTTGTTTAAAGCATTTATATTCTGCCCTTCTCACCGCAAAAGGGACTCAGGGCGGAGCACAACATATAAACAGCCAACATTCAATGCCAACATATTATACCATACACATACAAAAGCATTAAAATCACTTATCTTGACGTTAAAATCCACTAGTTAAAACTGTCTCAACAACCATATCGAATTTGGTTGGCATACTAAGGGTTCATATCGCTGCCTCATTGCACAGTCCCAAAGGCTCGGTCCCACAGCCATGTTTTTATCATCCTTCTAAAGAAGAGGGAGGGGGGCTGACCTGATCTCATTAGGAAGGGAGTTCCATAGCCGAGGGGCACTTACTGAGAAGGCCCTGTCTCTCGTCCCTGCCATATGCGCCTGTGATGGTGGTGGGACCAAGAGCACTGTGATGGTGGTGGGACCCCAGAAGATCTTAATCTCCGTGGTGGTTCATAGGGGGAGATGCCTTCAGACAGGTAAATTGGGCCTGGGGCTGTTATTGTTATTGTTGAGTTGCTGTGAGTTTTCCGGGCTGTATGGCCATGTTCCAGAAGCATTCTCTCCTGACGTTTAGCCCACATCTATGGCAGGCATCCTCAGAGACCCATCAACTTCTGAGGATGACTGCCATAGATGTGGGCGAAACTTCAGGAGTTAATGCTTCTGCAACTTGGCCATACAGCTCGGAAAACTCACAGGAACCTATTGATTCTGGCCATGAAAGCCTACAACAGCACGCTATTTTTTATTATTCACATTATTTTTGTCATTATTATTGTTAGTTTTATTATTGACATCAATATTATCATCGTCATTATTGTTATTTTCTATTATTGATGTGATTATTTTTGTTACATGTACATAACACAGCACACCTGCACATTAGGTCCTAGTGTCTCGGATTCGTGTCTGAATATCAGGCTCTTCCTAAAGGCCTAGAAGAGATATTATTGATATTATTGTTGTTGTTGTCATTATTATAGTTATTTTTATTACTGACATTATAATTTTCAATATAATTATCGCCATTATTATTATTGTTAATAACTTCCCAATAAAGGATTCCCCCAGGCAGTAAGAAACCAGACCTTGAAACTGCTAGGCCATTAAATGCTAATCAAGGTGGCTAATTGAAACGTTCACACCTACTCAAACAGACAAGAGTTCTTTCTCCCACCTTGGACATTCCACAGATATATAAACCCCATTTTCCTAGTTTCCAACAGACCTCACATCCTCTGAGGATGCTTGCCATAGATGCAGGTGAAATGTCAGGAGAGAATGCTTCTGCAACATACAGCCTGGAAAACTCACAGCAACCCAGCGATTCCAGCCATGAAATCCTTTGACAATACATTATTATTATTATTATTATTATTATTATTATTTATTATTATTAATGTCCCACTTTTTTCCTCCCAAAGGCATCTCAAAGCATCCAATGATAAATACCTTCACCATGTATAAATTAAAACCCAAAGCATATATCAACATTAGACTAGAATTAATTATAGGACTGTGAAAAATCCACGCTTAAACCACTAAAAAATCTATTCAACTCCACGTAGTGTCAAATCACACTAGTTCTACAGTGTAGACACACCCTTGCTTGATCCCTGTATTTGTGCATA